GTGGTTTACACGTAAGAGGGCCTTTAATATCAGTGACATTACTCGTACCCAACTGAAAAGCTTAAAAAGCTTGTAGTGCCAATCGTGAAAAGGCCCCGTTTTCTTGCCGCTTTCGACAAAGGTACTTTCAAAAAGGTACCACGTTGGAAACGCCAATGAAGAAAAACGCTACGACCAATCAAAATTATTTTGAAATCGCGTGGCTCCAATTTGTCTAGCAGATACCGTCTTTTATATTTTATTCACTAAATAGGACTGTAAAATAGAAAAAAAGTTATTCGAGAGATTAATTATTGTGTCTAAATTTTTCTCAAAAATAAACCATGAAATTTACATTTGAAGTTTTTGCTTTACAATGAACGGTAAAGAAATGTAGTGATGTAAACGCACGAGTGGAGGTATTAGTTTGCTCATCTATAGTGAAGCTCAGCCGAAAAACGTTTTTTAGCGAGGCACGTCAACCGGAAGTGACTTTGCTGATACTAATTTGGTAGCGTCAAGGCATACTTGTAAAAGGGCGGGAGAAAGCCTCACTTCCAGTTGACATGCTTCGCTCAAAAGCGCCTTTGCTGAAGCTCCCATTATCCCGTTGTTCTTCCAACAGCATAATTTGCCAGTTCCTTGGCCCTTGTGATCAAACGTTAATTGGGAAAAGTGAACGCACGTTGCTAATTTACCTTTCTCCATCCTAACTTTTAAGATCCAAGTTTATGTATGGATATTTCAATCGTCCAGCAATGTAAATTTAACTAATAGAACGAAGAGAGGCGATTTTGAAGCTTCGTTTCCTTATACCCCCACCAATTAGTACTGTTGGTAATTTTGCTATTGCTCTTTTAATGCGATAAATGAGAAATGAAATAAAATAAATTTCACAAAAAGTTTTCGCGTTGTTGTAATGAAGGAAAGAAACTACTAACTAATATCAGATGCGGAAAATATAATGTAATAAATTCTAACAAGAGAAAAAACCGCTAATTATGACAGGAGAGTATTTAGCCTTATAAAATAGTTTCAACTATCAATTTCTAAGAAACAACAAAGACTGGCCACTGACAAAACAAAAAGTTATTCTTGTATTTTATATACGCTTATGTGACAAATGAGACAATATGTTGCTGTTTTCAGTCGGTTTTATTTAAAACTGAAGAAAAACTGTATCTAGTTCCTTTGTTAAATTCCGAATGGCTACCTCCTGAGAAGTAACAGACTGAATTATTTGAAAAAAAAAAAA